GATAAATTTTGATTTCACAATAAATGTGAAATAATTTTTCACGAGTAAGAATATTGAAATTATGGAATATACTTAATGATTTATTAAAATTGAATAGAATCGAAGCTATATAGTTAGATCTGTATATCACAACAAAATCTAATATTAATCTTGCCACGAGTATCTGTATGTTTTTAGTAAACCCAAAAAGTCTGTAACTCATCATTTTGACAAGTTTGGTTCTTCCAATATTAAATTATTCGTGAACTGTTTTTGTAATTGCTTAAAATAATTTGAAAAAATGAAGGATTTTATTCAGTGAGTATAATTTTTTCATTGTTTCATTGTGTATTATACGTCCAGATAAATTAATTGTTAAAGTTTTTTATTATAAAATGATCAATGCTGCTCGTAATTATCAATTAATTTTGTATTAATTAGAATATCAATTTGATTGTGTACATATCTTCGATCGATTCAACTAATAATAAATTTAACTACAGGGAATTTACCATTAAAAATATCTATAATTCTGAATATTGAATATTATTAAATAAAATTGAATCGATTAATTCTATATTATATAAATATAAATTGCCACAAAACAAATTTTTTATAACAACATATAGATTGCTAAAATTCAACACTTATCATAATGCATATTTATTTCAAAATTGCATGTGTAAGGAATTTATGATTAGCAATAACCAAATATTTATCATTCCGCTTTATAACCAATTTTTAACCTCTTTCTCTCGCTCGTCTAACGAAATAAAACGAAAAAACAATCTATGAATTACGAGTAATTCTAAAAAATTCAAAATAAATTCTCCCAAAAGATGAAAGATCAACCCATTTTTCTAAAATTATTTTCATCCACCATAATACAAGTAAATAAATTTCAAATAAGAATTAAGTTTAAAAAGCAAAATGAAATATATTTTTTAACAGATGTTCACCCGCAAAACGAATGCTGATCGAAGCCTCGCCCAGACCTTGGTGCTATTTTAAAAGCACATCGGTGCTTCAATTTGATTTCTCGAATCTATTCTAGCCAGCAAGAAACGACGATTTATCGTCTTCGAATCGATTACACATCCTTTCGATCGATCCGCCAATTTCAAATTCGATTATCGACCAGGAATAGAGGAATAAAAACGATTTTTCTTTCTTTTTCTTTTTTTTTTTCTTTTTTTGTTTTTCTATTAAAAAGTTGCTCCCTCGTAATGCAATATGAGCCGATAGAAACGATGCTCCTGTTTTTCTTTATTTAAACACTTTCATTTCGTGCGATAAAAAAAAAGACAATTATCCGTCTTCATTTACTTTCAGAGGGAGAGTGAAACCCCTTAGGCTACGACGTTCCACATTTGTTCCTTTTTAATTGTTTCCGCGAATTGTTCGAGATTCGAGTCATTCGATTGTAGAAACTAATGATTGATGTGCTTGAAAAGTTTTTACTTTTAAGAATACATTTACAAGTTATGAGATTGTGTAAATAGTAAAAATGTATTTCTTGTAAATTCGATTATTGATAGATCGGTTACGCGAAATGGGAGAATATTTTGTGAAATATTTTATTTATCCAAAAGATGAAAAATTATTAAATATAATTTTGTAAAGAAATAATCACGCGGAAAGCAAAGCTTTATAAAGCCTTCTGTCCCGAGCAAAGTAAACACCTTTTGATTGATCACTTTGGATAAATTAAATATATAGATATATTTGCTCGATCAATATATTATCGATCAATCAATTATATTAATATTATTTCCACTTGTTTGACATGGCTTTGTTTTTAATTTCCATAAAACGTGATTCGTAAGCATGATTTATGCAGAGGAATACGAGTTTCGAACAAAATTTCAAGATTCACACCATATACAATGTTCCAGAATCCTGAAAACATTCGCCAAATTTCAAATCTTCAAACATTCTTCGAATACAAAATCCTCTAGAAATTTTTCAAAACCGTTGATCAACGCTCGCCGTCCAAACCGGAACGGACGACGCCATCCTTCGACGATTGGGGATCCGATGTTAATGTTTCGATTCTCCGATTTCAACGTTCCTTCGTTCTCCGGTTTCAACGTCCCCCGAAAACTGTATCCAACCGGTGAAAATTTATGCGAATGATAATTCAACGTCTTCCCTCGCGACACGACAATGATAATAACGACGATGGGAATGATTTAGCCGGAATCACTCGAGCAGGGAAGGAGTGCACGTGTTCCTGCGGATTAATACTTCAAGACGGCCAAAACTGTGTCTATCTTCGACACGTCTATACGGAATGAGAGAAGGAGAGAGAGACAGACAGAGTCTCTGAAATTATCCTCTTGCCAAGCCCAACCGATTCGAACCGAGTTATTATTGAAAGCCTTCCGGCCGGCGACGTGTTTAATTAAACAAATATTTATTTAACACGATCTGCGAAACCGATCTGGATATGATCGAACTCGTTCTTCTCGCTCGTCGAAAATACTTTTCCCATTTTTGATGAAGTCTCGTCGAGAAATTTCGAATAACAATGGATGGTTAAACTGTTTCGAAATTTGCTTGTAAATCTATATTCTTACGAAGAGAAAATTGGTAAGAAAGATCGCTTTTAAGAAAAATAGATCACGTAAATCTAGTTAAATTAATTACTTTCTTTTCGTTTCACCGAAAAAAGATAGAATTGTAGAAAGCAAAATCGGAGAAGGACGGATCATCATCGACAAACAAATCTATCGCACAAACGGTGTCTGGAAACGGGAGGCATCGCGTAATCGGCGCGAGACAAAAGGCGATTATCATTAATCGGAAGTCCCAATCGCGAGAGATTCTCGGCTGGGCATTCATCGGCCGGATTTACGCCACCTCCCCATCTTCCCGCCTCGAGTCCGTTGCCAGATCTAAAACCGTCGTACCGACAATGACGTAGAATCCGAGTAAATCGCGCCCGTTGTCCGCTCATTTTGCATTTAAACGCCGCGCCGCCCGACTAATCTTTCTTATCCCGCGCCGCGTGTCGCTTCGCCGCGTCGATTTAATTTCGTGCCCCAACTACCCTTTTGTCTTTTAAAACGCTCGACACAACTCTCAATGGATCGCGCAACTTCGTTGCAAACCGTCTGAATCGTTCCAATTCCTTCCCCTCCACCATTTTAAATTGGGGAAAGAAGGAAAAGCTGGAAGTTTCGCGTGGAATCGTTCGTTTCTATTTTCGCCCCTCTCCTTTCTTATTCTTTCTCTCTTTGTACAGGATTTCCTGAGGAACGCGGTGTTTTGTTTGTTGTTAGAAAAAATGTTTCTTGTTTCGTTTGCAGAGTGTAAAAAATCTCTGGGAACGGGAGGACTGGAAAGATTAAGGGAATGGAAATGCTTTCTTTTTCTTAGATTCGATGGGTCTGGTTTTGGAAATGGACAGTGTAAAACGTGGTTTTATCTCGATGTCTGTAATTTCGTAGCGACGAATTGGATATTTGGTATTGTATATAAAATTGTATATGTTATATTTAATTGTAGATGATTAAATGATATTTTCAAATGGTGTATTTCTTATTTTAATATTAATAGAGAAAGAGTTTCTGCCTGAATTTTGAATGGATAATGGAGTATTTGTGTGGAGAATTGAATTCGTTCTAGATTAATAAATAGATTATAAATTAAAAATGGACGATCGTGTACATTTGCTTTCGAATCTACGTTTATGTATATATATTTTCCTCGATACACGTCGATTTTACACATTAGACTTGGATAAACTGGATTAGATTTGAATCATATCATCATGTGTAATAAAATCTCGAATCGTTCCAAATATTATCAAATAACTATTGAAATTTATAGAATCTCTAAAAAAAACCTAAATTTATCATTAAATCCTCTAATAGTATTATCAACAATTAATAAGAATGATATAATCATAGAAAAAAGTTCATTATATATAAAAATTTTCACACATGTAAATTGACTATGAGATTTAAGTATCTAAATATCTAAAATAAACTATCTTATAATGTTAATGCTATATCGCAAAAAACTTCAAATATTGCAAATAAAAGATATTTGCATGATCGCTAACAATTTTTAAAAAATTAAATTTATATACTATTAAAATATTCTTTAACTTTGCACAAATATTGAACCAAACAAATGGCTAATTTTATTTAGAAATATATAATAATTGATGATAGAAAATAATTGTACGAGAATAAAAATTACGTCAATAATTATCATTTAAAATTAGCCATTAAACCAAAAATTTCATTACTCAATTTATGGCATCTTTGATCCGCCCACATTTGATAATATTTTTGATCTACATTTATTACGTAACTAATAAATAATGAAGTCTGTTAATTGCATGTAACTTGGCTAACTTCAAATAACTCTCAAATATAAATCACATCTAGTCAATAAGTATCAGTAATCATTAAAATATTTGTAATATATCTTATAAAAAAGAATCATGAAATAAAAAATTACGTGAATTTTTAAAAAAAAAAAAAAAAAAAGTATTCACGAGATAAAGCAGCTAATGCCAACGAAATTCTACTTTTATATACGGTTCATTCATTGTTGGATCACGGATAATATTTAACAAATAAAATTACGCGCCAAATAAAATCGATAAATAAATCGCAGGAAAATTCACGAAAATAAGTCGATTTCGCCCAATCATCCTTGACGAATATATCAAAATAAACCGAGATTTTCGACTAAGCGTCGTCGAACAGAAGTCTGAGCGTTTATTTTTAGCATACACGAATCGTATTCTCCAAAAAAAAAAAACGCCTTAAATATCCATGCATTCTTATTCAACGTTCCAATCGTTATTCGATCATATATTTATTGATACACCGTCATCTATTATCGTTACAATTATATATGAGAGCTAGAGTGAAGAAATATAATTCGAAATTTAAGGCGATGGAGAGAACACGACGTGTTTGTAATAAACGCCCACGTCAGGGCGTCACGATGAATTTCAGTTACCGTAATCGCACGTGTCACTTAAATATGTCGTCACTTACTTCTTGGATCTTGTAGCTGGTCCGAATCGTCTTTCGTTTGGTAGTTGTAACCTCGTAAGTCTCCTCGACGGTGGGCGCCTCGTCGTCTTCATTGTTATTGCCATTGTTTTCGTTGTTGAAACCATCCTTGTTGTTCCCCGACAGAGTGTCAGGATTGAGGACATCCACAGCATCCATTCCCGCGTTTTCCGTATCAGCTTCCAGATTGAACAATCGTATCAACGAACTAACCGTTCGAGAAAAATTCGAAGCGTATTATCGATATTTCGATCAATGTTCGATTGATACGTAAATGTCACGGAAAGGGGTTATGTACACCGAGAATGATATGAATGTGAACGAATACGCCCGAAACGATTGTAAATTGGCTCGTACAACAAACACGCGAAAAACTTCGATGAGTAACTGACGAAACTATTCCAGGATCGACGAAGTTCTGCACGAAGCGGAGAGACTAACCGTACTAAAGCACCACGGTTCGAGAAATCCGTCGCGAACACGTTCCCGCGCGCCTTTCAACGGCGAAAATAGATTCTCAAATTTTCCCGAAGCAAGTGCACACGTCGTGACTATGTTAAATTCGTTGTTCACCACCGCAATAAATATTTTGCCACAAATCACGATTCGATCAAAATCACTATTCCCTTTGGTATAACTGTATTCAATATCTTCGTTTAAAATTGTTTCTTACGACTGATCACGTTCGAACATGTCTGCAAGAAAACGCGCCATGAAGCCATACAATTGACACTTGCGAGACTTTTATCGATTATCGAAAAAATCGAGTGTTGCGATACACATGGCTTCTCTCGGTGTTAAAATCCTACTTGCTTGTTTCATTCTCTTTTCTGTATTCATTTTTATTTATTTTATTTACATTTTTTTTGTGTTTTGTGTGAAAAAAATATAATTGTGATGAGAATTTGTGATGAAGAATTAATAATTCGCAAGTTAAAAAGTGTTCGATACAATTCAATACAATTAACGGTAGGAAATTTAAAAATTTTATTTTAAAATAATTCTGTCTACAATATATATTTAAATAAATATTGTTTCTCTTATTCTATATGTAAATAATTTCGTATCATTTTTTATTTTATGAATGGAATTTATTTTACAATGAAATTAATTTGCTTATGCGTTAGAAAATCAAAAATTGCTAATCGCGTGCATTACATTGTCAAAGTTTAGGCATTCATGCCATCTGATGGTGGTTAGGTTAACTAAAATCATTGAAATACATGATTAAAAATGTTTCAATTATGTATTTAATATTCATCAGTCAATAATATTTGTTTCTTTCTCTTAATATTATTACAACTATTTGTTCGAGATATAAATATATTTATAAAAATCACAGCGAAGTTAAGGCATATTCGAACGCAAACACATATATTCACAGTACATTTTGTTGCGTCCATCTAGCTTAATGTGTTCACAATAAGCATAACCTGCCAATAATTTTATTATAATACGAAGTTATTAAATAAGAAGATATATCAACAATTTTTTATAATATCAAAGTCATTGGTTGATTCATTCGTATAAATGTATCCAGAAAGATTTCTTTTCTCATAATTATGAGTTTATTTAGTTTATCTCATGAGTTTTCAGTTGTAACAAATCTTGAGGTCTATAAACTCCAACTTCTGTAATAATGCCTTTAATGAGGTTAGCTGGAGTTACGTCAAATGCTGGATTCCAACATTGTATTCCAGGTGCTGCAATTCGTTGGTCATTTATATGAGTTAATTCCCTTTCTGGTCTTTCTTCAATAATAATATGATCACCATTAGGAATACTGAAATCAATGGAGGTTCTAGGAGCTGCTACGTAAAAAGGTACATTGTGATATTTGGCAACTATAGCAATCTAAAAAAACAAAATAAAATTAATCATGTATGCAATAAATATTTAAAAAATCCCAATTAAGATGATTATTGCATATATTACTTGATAGGTTCCAATTTTATTAGCTGTATCACCATTTGCTGCAACTCTATCTGCACCAACAACTACAGCAGAAATATTTCTTGACTTCATAAGTGCTGCCACCATGTCATCGCATATAAGTGTAGCTGGAATATTTTCATATACTAATTCATATGCAGTCAATCGTGCTCCTTGATTATATGGTCTAGTTTCAGAACAATACGCTAATTCTGTAAGGGTAATTAGTACTACACAACTTTATCAAATGTCATTTAAGACATAAGAATTAAAAACATGCAAATGTTACCAAGACTATTTTTCTTGTGAAGGGATCTTATAACACCTAAAGCTGTACCATAACCTGCTGTTGCAAGGCTACCCGTATTGCAGTGGGTTAAAATTCTAACGAAGTTATCTCCAGATACATTTTTTAAAATTTCTTGCGCTCCATAATCTCCAATAGCTTTGTTATCTGCAATATCCTTTTCTAACATAGCTTCTATGGCTTTGATAAACCTATTAAATATTATCATTAATAGTAATGATATCAAAGAAAATTTGATTTTGTTAGATTTAAGTTAATTCTCGTACCTTTCTTGCATTTCTATTACATTAACAGTCTCATCTTTACTGAGTTTATTAGCCAGATGAATTAATTCATCAGCCGCTATTTTCATATTTACTGCTGTTGGTCTAGCAGAGACCAAGTAATTTAATTTGCCCTCAACATCTTGTCGAAGACTTTTCTTGTCAATATATTTCTCATTTTTGATCTCTGTTGCTAAACTTAAACAACCCACAATAGCAATAGCTGGGGCACCTCGAACCTATGAATATCAAAAAAATCAACTAATAAAATACAAAAAATCTTTAATTCTCTCTACTGAAAAAGTAATAAATCGATTCACGACAAACGATTTGAATGAACTAATTCTTCCAATTAAAATTTTGTTCGCGCGAATCGTTTCAAATTGTTATAGTTTTCTTTGTTACAATTTAACTATTCAAACGCATTTAGCTTTTTATTGTTCGTCAATCGAAGCATTGAAACGTCATATCAATTCATATCTTTCGTATTTACGCCCGTATACAACCTACATTTAACGCGAACAGAATCGACGCGATATAGATCGAAATAAAAATTTTCATCCTTCATTCAATCAATAAATAAATAATAAATAAATACCTGCATATTATTGATGACTTTCCAGCCGTCCTCCACACCTCTGACAGAGATATACCGGGACATTGCCGGTAGTAATATTTGATCAAGTATTTCTAGCTTGCCATTTTCCCATTTAATCGCTTGAAGCGTCATTTTAATCCGTCAAATGTGAACACGTGTCTTGTGAGGCACTGAATGACGATATATTTGCAGATTCGAGACGCGGTTAACAGAACCGCGGGTTCTTAGTTTCTGAATGAAACGAGACTCCGTTCATTTGAAGCTCACGTGTACTTCGAATGGCCGTGAAGCCTATCGTAACGACACTACCGACGTACTGTGAAGCTATCACGTGTACAGACGTATCTTGTGCCTATGTATGAATTAGCTTCGCATTCAGCGCTCTCTGTCGACGTCTAAGCTAACTAAACATCCTCTTTAAGCGGGTCTTATTGGACAAATTATTTACTATTATTACGATAATCCTAAGAAAAAATATACGACGAAGCTTAGAAAATCCTTAAGAAATCTTTAAGAAATACCTAAAATAAATCAAACAAAATTCCGGAAAAAATAAATAGCATTTCTCATTAATAGTCTTTGATACTAATAATGAAACTCACGATATTGCTACGTTTATTTCAAAAAAATTAAAAAAAAAAAGAAAAGAAAAATTCTATTTGTTGATGAAAAATTTCAAACTATTCCTATTTATAAAATATTATCATTTTCAATTTTTCAATATTGTGATATCTATAAGGTTCAATCGAGATCAATCAAATAAAATCTTATTTATTTATTTACTATTAAAAATTGTAATAATTTTATCACATCTTGAACAATTTTTAATTTTCAACAAATAACAAAGTCACGTTACAATCTAACTTATCGTGCATTTGTAAATAATTCATGTGATTGTATACAATATGCATTGTAAGATAACTGCAGAATATTCTGTCAACAATATCATTGAAAACATTATATCATTTTCTTTTTAGAAATCCATTATTATATATGTATATTAAAAGTTTTAAAAAAATTCGTTTCTAAAATGACTAATTGTCATTTTAAATATCAATTTTTCTGTCATAATAATTCAGTATATGATTATTTTAACGACATTGTAATTTTTCATTAAAATTTTTGTAATATAATTTTAAAAAGAAGTTTTTTATATTTCTTAATCTTTTTAATTTTATTCTAATTTAATTTTATGTTAATTTAATTATTAAAAATTATATATCTATTATTCGCTACATTCTTTAATTTATTTTTTTTCTTTTTAAACTAAATTATAAAAGAAATACTTATAGTATTAAACTTTTTATTTTTGGATCTTTTTTCTTTTCTCCTTTTTGTTTGAGGAACTTGGGTCGAGTAATTCATAACGAAGAGTACTTTCTTTTAGTTGAAAATTTTACCTGAAAATTTTACCTGAAAATTTTACCTGAAAATTTTATTTAAGGTAATTGTCGTGATTCATGAATGACGCATACGGATATATTGCATTTTCCACTAATTATGGATTTTCTAGCATGTCTACAATAGTATTAGGTAGACGAAAAATAAATAACCAATTTAAATAAGTTAGAATTTACTATTCTGTCATATTCTGGCAAATATTTATTATCTTCGATCATCTTTGTATCAACAAGATAAGATTTTATACAATATAATATAGAATTATTCTTTCTATATATTTTTAAATAAATTTTTTGCCTCATGAGAACGATAACATTGTTTTTCCTCACGTATTTGAAATTAATAACAATAACAATTAAATGTATAATATAATTATGTATTAATAGAATCAATTTAATTAAATAATACGAATCTTTTGAAGCAGAAATTTCTGCCATCAGAATTGATATGATAATCGATGCTTGCAGAAAATCTATTAATTTAATAGCTTTAAATTACCACCGATCAAAAATTTATAATCCATTAATCCGTTATAAAAATTCACAAGTTTCATCAAAAGTTAATTTAGAATCTCGAAAAATTCGTTCGTGAAATATCTATCGATGCGTGTGAAATTAATATCAACTAATCTATTAGTATTAATTTTTTTATTAATAACAACAAATTATCAAAAAATTCTATACATGTAGCTAGAAAAATTCTATGCAATAAGGAAAGTGACTGGAAAAATTTTCCTAGTCGTTAGTCGTATACATATTTACATACACTCGTTTTATCACTCTCTGACAGAGTCTCAACACCGAAAATCGTCTCGAAATCGTTCAACAAATACCGTGGCAAACGATAACACGTGGAAAGTGTCGATAACGATCGTCAAAAGTCGCGAGAATGCATTTGGATGGCGGCCGACTTAAGCTGTGCACTCTCGTACATTTCGGTACAAAGAAAATCACTCTCATTCCCGATGCAATTCGTCGCTTTGATCCTTTACATGATTCCAACGGCCACGTGTTCACTCGTGGCCGAATGCTCGCAACATATTTCGAGTGCAAACTACCCCATTTACTTGCCACGTTTTAAAAAAA